AATTACTGTTATCAATTATTATGTTTTTTTTGCAGTTCGACTCTATATTTAGTGAAATTGGGTAATGATCCGTGATGTTACACTTCAAAATATATGAATTGAATTTGAAATTATTGTTATTGTTAGGTTGTTTCAGGAAAATGTGGTCGATGCATGATCTACTTTCAGCAGTAATTCTTGTAGGATTCAATATGTATGGGACAAATCCATATTTAGCTAACACAGAAAGATAATTATTCACGTTGACGTCGTTTTCATTCAATAAATTGATATTAATGTCACCAATGAATACAACCATTTTGTTGGACTGTATTTCATCCAGGTATGAATCAAGTTCATCAATAAACGAGTTCAGGTTACTTGGGTTAGGCCTATAAAGAGCGATTATTCTACATGATACATTATTCAATGTTAAATTAATGATACATAATGAGACCCCACATATAGTTAGTTTATGACTAGTAACATTGTAGTTGAGGTTTGATTTTATCAAAATCAAAATTCCATCATTCCTATTGAAATCGCCATCATTATGTATCGTTGTATATCCTGGTATATTAAGGTTATTGACAGATACATTCATAAAGCATTCACTCAAGACAAAAACATCACAGGTCATATTATATGTTTCAATAAGTGCTAAGAGTTCATCAAAGTTTTTGTTTGCACTTCGAATATTAAAATGTGTCACGTTAAATAGTTTATTTTTTGTCATTAACATGAAATTTTCAGGTTCTAGATATTCCCCTAGGTGATCTTGTTCTAATAAACTCAAATTTTCTAAGACAGTATCTTGATCCACTATTACCATTAACTACCGTAATCAATTTTACTTTTCATCACATTGATTTGGAACTGTAGAGTGGGGCAATTAATGTCAGTTGAGTAATGTTCAACACTATTTTTCAGTTTGTACTTATCATTAGATTTGAAACAATTAGCACAAGCTTTCTTGATTTTTGGACAATCTTTTTGTTCATGCTCTTCCATACATAAAGGGCAAATTAGTTTGTTAGGGCAATTTTCTTTTTTATGATAAAATTCTTGGCACTGGAAACAACGTGGAACTGTAATATCTTCAAAAACTGGATATCGCTCCCAACCAATAAATACCTTTTTCAGTACCATGAGTTGTCTAAAAGTTGCTGGCGAGCATTCCCCAAAAACTGTTGATTGGCCATTTCTTCCTTTTTTGATAAAAGTTACCTTGATTTCGTCTAGTGATTCATTTTGTTGTAGAATTGCGGTTTCAATTTCTTCTTTTGTTAGATCTTGTTGAAAGTATGGTATTTTAATCCTTGGTTTTTTCATTTTTGATGCTTCTATGTTATATGTGTTTTCCATTTTCGTTTTGACTTCTTTTTCCAGTACTTCAAATTCTGCTTTGTTCTTACATTTGATAATGACTGATCCAGATTTGGTAGATTTTAGACTTCTAATGCCAATTTTCAAATTGGATGGATTGATACTATTTATAATTTCAGTTTTAGTTTTTTCCACATTTTGGAAGGTCTTAGGTTTTATAATTATATCAGGAACATTTGGCAAAGTTGTTCTAAATGATGCATTTGAACTATGCTGTAGGGTTTCAGAATAAGTAGGCTTTGCTATGTAAGTTCTTTCTTTTTCATATGTGTTAAGTTTATCTTGTAACATTTTGATAATTTCATTCTTATCATTCATTATTTCTTCCTTGTCCTTTATGATGTATTGTAAACTTTCAACAAATTCATTATTCCTGCATCTTGTACAATAAAATTTCAAAATTCGTTTTTGTAGTGGCATGCATTTTAGTTCAGACGCTGTTAGATCGGAACACTCTGTACAAATTAAATTTCGGCAAGTATCGCAGGAAAAACAGGGTGCTTTGACCTCTTTCGTTGGTTGTTTTATTACCTTACATAAAAAGCACTCCATAGTTTATTTTCATCACCTTCCATCACACAAAAAGTTTGACTTTTATCAGCGTTATTTTTTGCGGATAATTACTGGGTACCTGAATATTTCTTCTAGGAGTAAATTTATTTGTTTGCACTATGAAAATGCAGTTTTCTCCCAATGTATGGAATAATTTACTATACTAGGTACACATTCTTGCAGTAATTTCACAAAACTTCGTATTAGCGAAAATTTCGCGTTTTTGTGATAACTTTTATTGGTAAATCGACCACTTTCTTACGGAGCTTTCCGAAACACGACCTTCTTTCGCCACCGAAATATGAATATGAATATATTGAAGTATTGTTTTTGTTCCTCTGTGGCATTTCTTTGTTTGCCTACTGAGAGGTATCCCTGGGATGTTTTGGGATGTTTTTGAAATGTAGGCATGAGGATGTCTTTTTGAGGCGTAATATGCACTTCCCAAAGAGGTCTTAGAAGGATATTGAAAGTATTGTTTTCGTTCTTTTGTGCCCTTTCTTTGTTTGCCCCACCACAACGTCTCATGCTCACGTCACAATACGATGAATTCTGATTTGTTTTCGATTTTCGATTTTGTTCTTCTTATTCGCAATTGGCATTCGCGTTTGCAGCGCCAGCGTGTCACGCTTACATCACGCTGCTAACGAACAGAAAGGAATTTGGTGAAGTTTATCGTGTTAGAAGACTTTGTAGTTTGTAATAATGACCATCAGATGCAAGATGTGTTGTTCGGTGCCTCAGTGTAATCAATATATAAAAGTACGAATTCATCAATACACAGCTTCTCCGCAGTTGCAAAATTATGCATTGTGGAGAACATTTCAAAAATTGGGAAACCTATTTCCAATGATTTGTCTGTGTGTAGTAAGCACTACTCAGAAACCGATTAAGAAGGTAATTTCATATCAAGAAAATATTTTTATGTTCAATCTATTTTTAATGCATTTTTTCATTCAAGGGAAATAGAATCCTGATGCGAAAGTTCATTTTGACAAAAGGCTTCAGAAAAGTACCTCCAAAATGGTTTTTTTACATCGATTTAATGTGCGCAAGACGCGTTGAAAATGTTCTGTTGTGTCCATGAAAAGGCTTTAAAAAGAACTAGGGAGAAGGTAGTTTTGTGACATATCAAGGACATCTCGATAATTGCCGCCTGCGGCGGACATTGGCTGTTCTACAATAGTTCTATTCATGTGTGAACAGAACATCGCAGTGGAGGTTCAATGTCTCGAAATCTCGTACTTTCAACATCTCTGAAATGTTTTTTTGCTCGCTGGGCTCCCACAAACAGGCTATATGGCTCAACTCGAATAAATTGATTTCGGATATCAAATTCTCATCAGTAACCTGAAGTTCAGTTATTCTTTCAGCCATTCGTCATGATATACACAATTTTCAGGAGTATGTCAATAAATCATGTTCTCAGATGTCAGATCGTTATAGTTTTAGTTATATTAAAGGAACTTGGAGTGGTCAAACCCGTGGTAACTTATGAGACACCATTCAATTTTAACTCCTGTCTCTTGGCTATACTATTAGCAAAACTTTCTCATCTTTTTTCTTCCGAAAATGATGAACACTTTTGACAATATTAATTTCACCATTATTATTTTTTTCCATGATCAAAAGAATGATATTTTTGGATATAAGACAAATTGATATTCATTATACAGGGCGTGGAAAAAAAACAAGAATCCATCGTTTTAATTTGAACCCCCGATTGGGTGACACTGTTGAAAAGGAAAATTCTCAGATAACTGGACTTCAGGTTACTGAGTAGGGTTTGAAATCCGAAATGAATTGATTCGAATAAAGTCATATAATCTGTTTGTGAGAGGTATAATCCCCATATCACTGATACGAATGATTTTTTCTTTGGAAGTTCCAAGTTTATCAAGATCAGAGTTTATACAAGTATACTCCTTTTGAAAGTTCAACAGATATAATTCAATGTTCGACGTGGCATATTTCCAGGAAAGTAGTTGTTTTCTGATCAATATTGAGAATATATACATATTTTTATCTGAAGGAGATTGCAAATTCTCTACTTCAGAAGATTTTGTTTTCAAATTCTTATCATGTGTGTTGAATAGATATAATTCAATATTTGTCGTGGCATATAGCCTGGAAAGTACCTGGTTGTTTCCTGTTGAATAAACCGAGAAAGAATTGATATTTTTATCACATAGAGAATGCGAATTCTCAATGTATTTCTTTGTATATGTATATACATATATATCCATTTTTTCATGATCATAACTTATCTGAGAATCAATGAATGATATTTTTTGTGAAACTTGTACTGCAAATCATTCGAATGCACATCATTACCATGCATGAGAGTACATGCCTACCTGAATCATTGAAAATCTCAAGATACACGCTTAGTTTTGTATATATCGCTAGAAAGTAATATAATTTTCTCATGTTTCTATTCACATCAGATTTTCTCAACATACCATACTACCATGAGTCGTATATTAAACCTATTATTCATAGTAAAAATAATCATTATCTGGTGCTCAACTTTGAACTAAGATTAGTTCACAAAATCGACTTATATCAGTCAGAGAAATATGTGGTTGGTGTTTCTGAGAACTTTTTCTTCACACACCATTGCAATAACTGTGAAAAATCTAGATGAGAACTTTCTCTACATGTTACCGAGTGAAAACTGACAAATTCACGGAAATGAAAACCGATTATACTCTTCTATGGATACACAACTAAGCACGAAAATGTGCACTTGTAGCAAAATATGTTTTCCCCAGATTTGGTGCGTAGTTATTCTATATCAGTTCACTAGTAATTTCGTCAAGATTTCACCTGATCAATATTCAAAAATTGATGTCATAAATTATATCGAACCATTCCAAGAGGTCGGTACTGTGGTCATCAACCCACCACGTCTACAATCGGCACTAAGTATTGAATAAATCATCAATGGTGGTACCGCAAACAGGTACCACCTGCGGTTCCATCTCTCGATACCAGCCAATGGTGTTTCAGGAGGAGTGGTCAGCATCAGGTAAATCTTTTAGAGTTGTACTCACAATTTTTTAGTCATTGGATGTTAATATGCGAAGATCAGTAAAATACAAGCAGTATTTATCAGTTTGGTGTGAAATAATAACAAATAATATATAATAAACGTTTAATTTACAATGTGGCGTGGTGTTGGTTCATTAAATAATCGTATGGTGTATGATTGACATTTTGAATATCTAGATTGATAAAACAGTGGAAAGTTCTTGTGATTCCGTGAAAAACTTGTTCAAATAAATGCAGTGGTTTGTTTGAATTAAGCAGATGTAACACTTTTATGAAGGTAAGAAACCTATATATACCTTTATACTGTTTTACTACTCGTATTACCAATTTAGGTAGGATGTAGAAGGTATAATCGAATGAGAGCTACTTTCTGTATAAGAAGTTCTGTACAAATAAGTATCCATACAATAAGTTCTTCTATTCAGAAGTAACAAACTGGTATCTGATCAAGATAGTTAACTGAAAACTATATAAGTCTCGAGTCTTGCTCTCCTCTAGTTTGGTTTCGACTTGTAAGGAGTTGGTTCAAAACAATCCCATACGAAATGCCCGAAAAACAACGAAATCCTCACTCGTTCTTCATTGAACCAACGAATCATATAGAAATAGAACAAATCATAGACACACTTAAATCAAATAAGGCTCCAGGATATGATTCTATAAGAGCAGAATCACTGAAAAAACTCAAATCTGAACTATCGTCTCCCCTATCATATGTAATCAACAAAATATTTGTAAATGGCTATGTTCCTTCCGAATTCAAATTAGCGGTGGTAAAACCCATCTATAAAAAAGGTGATCGAACATTGCCAATCAACTACAGGCCTATATCCTTGATTAGCTCGTTCACAAAAATATTTGAAAAAGCCCTAAATTTCAGATTAACCCGTTACATCAAAAAATACAAACTCTTATCAAATAAACAATACGGATTTCAGGAAGGTAAATCAACTCAAGACGCGATTAGTTATTTAGTGAACAATATTTACAATGCGGTGGATGATGGAGAACCGGCACTGTGCATATTCCTAGATCTTTCCAAGGCCTTCGACACAGTTGAACATGGACTGTTGTTGGAGGCCTTGGAGGAAATGGGAGTAAGAGGCACTCCAAACAAGCTATTCGAAAGCTACCTACATAGTAGAGAGCAGACTGTACAAATTGAAACAGAATTTTGTGAGAGAAGAACTATAGAGTATGGAGTGCCTCAAGGGACAGTACTAGGTCCCACACTATTCAACATATATCTGAATAATCTACTCACTCTGAAAATCTCAGGAGACATCACAAGTTTTGCTGATGACACGGTAATTTTCTATCGTGCAAAGAGCTGGGAGGAACTGAAAAAAAATGTTGAGAGTGACATGAAAAATGTAGTTCACTGGTTCAGTTACATGAAACTTACCATAAATTTCGACAAAACAGAGTTTGTGCCCTTCACGTCACTTAGAAGTAATTTGCCAGATTATGATAGGCTGACCATAAAATACGGGAATGAACCTATATATATCAAGTACACGGAGCATATCAAGTATCTTGGAATTACTATTGATCAGCATTTGAGATGGGACAAACATATCCAAAATGTAGTAAATACCTTAAGAACCATGCTGTACCGATTCAAATGTTTGATTAATATCCTTGATACTTACCATATGAAGATATTGTACTATGCATTGGTGGAATCACGATTGCAGTACGGAATTTTGGCATGGGGTGGAGCACTGGATGTTTATCTGAAACGATTGATAATCCTACAAAAATATTTTCTGAAGATAATTTTCAAAAAAAATCGTACTTACCCAACTGAAGAGCTTTTCGAGGAAACGAAACTATTAGACATCCGACAATTATTCTATTTCCATATACTCATTTTCATGCATAAAAATAAAAACATAATTCAAATAATCGACCATTATCATGATACTAGACAAAAAACCAAATTGCAAGCGAGAACAGAAACGGTAAAAAAAAATATTGGTCAACGAAACCACTATTACTTGGCATCACGAATATACAACCTTTCACCTGATGAAACTAAGAAGAATATAATGAAATACTCTAATATAAATAAATTGAAAAAACAATTCAAAGACCATATTCACAACGTGGATCGTTTAACTATCCACAAAGTAGTGAATATAAGGAATTTAGTCTAAATATTGCTTTCTTTCAACTGCTGAATTCAAGTGTGATTGTTTTAGTTAAGCTAGTTAGCTATTGTCAATTATAATTGTACATATTTTTATGAATAGCCCTTTTCTGTCTGTCATCTTCATGTTCATCTTCTTAATATTCTGAATTGTAAGCTTTCGTCTTTTTCATCCACACTCACTCTACTGGAATATCAATATATGATTAAAATGCATGACAAAACCCACGTACAACCCTGCGTTCCTGTGGGCTTTTTGTTTATTGTAACAACTTCTCATATAATAGTATTATTTGATTCTTTCGATTTTAATTATACTTCATTTTAATTACGCCTACTAATTCTACCGTATTCTATTATAACACCCACTGTTAGCCTATGTGGCCTCAAAATTGTATATTTACCTTGCTGTATCGTTGTTGTTGTGAATAAACATTATTATTATTATTATTATTATTTGCAGCTTCAAAGTAGCGGTTTACAATATCTCTTCACCTACCACGAGTTGTATGCATGTTACATTAGAATGGTAACTTACCTACCTAAACACCTTGTCCCAGCTAAAATGTCCCCCTGTAAAAAAAACAACCGCGCGATCGACCCAGTATATTTGATGATGCTCACTCGAAATATACTATTGAATAAATTGTAGGTATACAGGGTCACACCGAAGTGCACCTTAACTTCCCTATTCGAATAGGGACACCCAGTATATTATTCCATATTCAAGTAAAGTTCATTATTACAAAATCAACAATGCTAAGTTTGATGGTATTTTTCCAAACGACTACAGAGATATGGCCAAAAATAAAACGATTCAATAAAAAATCAATAGATTAGATTTTGTTAATATAACACGATTGAAATCGAATGAAAAGAAAATAATCAAAACCTCAACTGCTCAATATGTCGTCCATTCTGCTGAATGCTGAAAACATTTCCTAGCTCTTTTGATAACGTTCATTGTGGCCCTATGTATCACGTTGCGAATTTGTGATTTTCTCTTCCATTTATTCCATATTCACAATTGGCGACTCTTAAACCTGTTGTTTCAAGTACCCCCGCAAATAAAAATCAAGTGGGGTGAGGTCTGGCGACCGAGCTGGCCAGTTTCTATCACCATCGAGACAATTGGTGGTTATCAGATTTTCTCCAAACTGATGGCGAAGATAATCCTTTACGGGTCTGTAGTTATGTGCAGGACACCCATCTTGTTGAAAGAATATATTGGCATACATATTGACAGGCAACTCTTGCAAATATTTCTCTAATTTGTTCAGTAGGAAATGTAGGTATCTTTGATCATTTGAGTTTTCTTCGAAAAAATATGGACCCAATAGCCGATCTCCGATTATACCCATCCAAACGTTTATAGACCATACATTCTGAGAATGTCCAACTTGTATTTAACTTGGATTTTCGTATACATAATGATGCATTTTAGTGTACACCGTTCCATAGAATTTCGCTTCGTCTGTCCATGGAATATTCCGATAAAACCTGTGATCCAATTGCAGAATCGGACTCTTATATCATAATCCCCAGGAAGCAGTTCTTGTACCATTCTTGGTTTGAATGGATGTAATTTGTAGCATTTCGTTATGCGAGAAATGAGGATGGGCATTTAGAAGTGTCAAAATGGTAATTTCTTACAGATCGCCTTCGGTCCCTTTTTTGGTCGATAATATATCCCTAGTTTATTTCAATTTTTTACCTCTCCAGATGAAAAAACTACAGGCTGTCCACATATTTCCTGTGTCACCCGGTATTTGAAATTATAGTGCTATAACTCCGAGTTCGAACTCAAAATAAGCTTGCTAAAGGTAATTTCGAGTCCAAATTAGAAAGTAAGGCTAGTTTCGAGTTCTCACTAGTAATTATATGGGGTTATTAGCTCCGAGTTCAAACTCGAAATTAAGTCAATCGAGGTCAGCTTCGAGTGCGAACTCAAGATTATAGTGCTCAAACTTTGAGTAAGAACTTGAAATGAGCTTGCTGAAAGGTAATTTCGAGTCCAAATTCGAAATAAAGGCTAGCTTCGAGTTCTCAATAGTAATTATATAGGGTTATTAGCTTCGAGTTCGAACTCGAAATTAAGCCAATCAAGGTAAGCTTCGAGTGCGAACTCGAAATTATATAGTGCAATAACTTTGAGTTAGAACTCGAAATAAGCTTGCTAAAGGTAATTTCGAGTTCAAATTCGAAATTAAGGCTAGCTTCGAGTCTTCACTCGAAATTATATAAGGTTAGCTTCGAGTTCGAACTCGAAATTAGGCCAATCAAGGTAAGCTTCGAGTGCAAACTCCAAATTATGGTGCTATAACTTCGAGTTAGAACTCGAAATAAGCTTGCTAAAGGTAATTTCTAGTCCAAATTCGAAATTAAGGCTAGCTTCGAGTCTTCACTCGAAATTATATAAGGTTAGCTTCGAGTTCGAACTCGAAATCAGGCCAACCAAGGTAAGCTTCGAGTGCAAACTCCAAATTATAGTGCTATAACTTCGATTTAGAACTCGAAATAAGCTTGCTAAAGGTAATTTCTAGTCCAAATTCGAAATCAAGGCTAGCTTCGAGTTCTCACTCGAAATGTAAGGTTAGGTTCGAATTCGAACTCGAAATTAGGCCAATCAAGGTAAGCTTGGAATGCGAACTCCAAATTCGAAATTAAGGCTAGCTTCGAGTCTTCACTCGAAATTATATAAGGTTAGCTTCGAGTTCGAACTCGAAATCAGGCCAACCAAGGTAAGCTTCGAGTGCAAACTCCAAATTATAGTGCTATAACTTCGAGTTCGAACTCGAAATAAGCTTGCTGAAGATAATTTCAAGTCCAAACTCGAAAGTAAGGCTGGTTTCGAGTTCTCCCTCGAAATAAGTGCTTATTTTGAGTTCAAACTCGAAATTAACAGAAAAAAATTACTAAAATCAGCATGGCCGTTCTACGCCTTCGTAGCTTACCGCCGCAACGACCTTTTCTTAAAAACACTTTCAGGTTAATATGTATCCAGTCGTAAAATTTTGTTTGATGATGGACTTCAGCCATATAATGTATATAAAAGTCAAAAAAAAGATGAATGTCAAACATGCCGATGAGAAGTATAAGCATTGAATAAATTATGCATGAATCCGCTCTTCCAGAATAATATTATAGTGGCTTCCTATATACATGGTATGTCACGACAGCTTATACATTATCTCTATATCGAGAAATAGTTGGGAGAAATCCACGAAAATATGCATGGTTAAATTTGACGCTCTCTTCACTTAAAATATTTCCAGCAATGTTGTGTTGCCGCTTCTATTAAAAATTAGCAATAACTTTGTTATTTCAAATGGAATACCCTGTATTTATTGCATTTCCTGATTCTCCCTAAAGAGGTGATTTCATTGATACGTCACACTTGGGATCTATCGGAAATGATTACAGATATATAGGGTGTTCAAAATCGAGATTTTTCAACTTTAGGATTTGTTTATGTCGAAACTATTCATTATCGGCCAAAACGGCTCACATGTCACTATCTCAACTTTTGATTTACTATTTACTGATATTCAATCGGAACAGATACAGGGTGATCAGGATTCTAAATCTTGAACCACCTACATCATTACTTTGTGTTAAGAACTGACAGGTCAGATGCTACTTTGCTAATCGGTTAAGATTGAATTGTTTCTTGCGAGCATTATCGTGTTTGTCTTTCTTTTCGATTTTTCTGTACAGGGTATTCCTTAAAGACACACTTATATTTGAAGAGGTGATTCTTTGACTCATTTTAAGAAGGAAACTTCATATATGAACGTGTGTCCTAAAAGTCTTAACTTTTGATATACAGGGAGATGAACTTTGGGGCTTTTTTAAATGTACAATAATTTGATTTCTTTTACCAATGGCACCATTACGGGAATATCATTGTTTATTTTTTACTTGAAAGTGAGCAACAATGGAGAATTTTCAAATCTACTACAATGTTATGGAACGCTATTCCATTATGTACAAATATGGTCCTCGTGTTGATACTCGATAGAACGCTTCATTTTAGAGAAAAACGAGATCATACTTCTAATTTTGATGTCTGAGTACTCCGGAGTACTCCATTCAGGACATCCATTACTGGATAACCATATACTATGTAACATTTCGAAATTTTCATACCGATTCTGTCACATAGCAGATTGAATTTTGCCAGCACGAAAAAATACAGGGTGAACAAAAAAAAAGAATATATGCATATTTTAAACACTGACACCCTGTCAGAAGTTAGGACGTTTACGAGATATGTTCATATGAAGTTTAATTCTTTTGAAATGGGTCGAATGATCGACCCCTTGAATATCAGCATATCAATAAGGAACGCCCTGTATAAGTATATTCTTATTGGCTCGTCAATTTCGAAGACTTGCTTGACATTCTGATTCAATTTTTGCCCGTACTTTGGCCCATTCGACATATTGAAAGCTGAATTCAAAGATATATCCGGATATATCACACATAGAGTTTGTATACAGTCCGTCCGTTGAATTCAGTGCCGAAAAATAATTTATACCGTAATTTACGATAGCACTATAAATCACCATTCGAAAGTTGCTTAATTGCTTATGCTTCAGTTGACGATGAAAAAAAATCACATTTACATAATTATCTTTTTGAAGTTTTTCAATCCATTCATTTATTTCTTAAATTATAAAAATCGGTGAAAGAATGACGGAGCAGCTTGCGTATATATTTTTATAAGACAACCTGCGTGAACTATAGTGATTGAGTGCTCTTAATATTTCTCAAAAACTAGTCGCTTACTTAATTTCATAGCGAAAAATAAATTAATCCCTTGAAATCATACAAAGTCCTTTTACTTTGATTGCAGGACAAATGGCACAGCACCATATTCGGACAGCAGTAGATTCAGAAATCAGTTCAGGAAAAGATAAGGGAGATCCGATAGAGAGAGATCTTTCCATAACTCTGGACGACAGGGATCTTTGGGTCAGATTTCAGAGTTTTACGAATGAGATGATCGTCACGAAGAGTGGCAGGTACAGTTATAATTTATTCGTTTTATAAAGTTAGTATACGATCGGTGGTCATATTTACTCGTCAGCCAGACAAGGAAACCATCCATAAAAATATCTTTGGTCCAGTTGAGTAACTTCAACATTATGCCTAATCACGGTACAAACAGATCAAAATTTGTTTCCCATTATGGGGTATATTATCCCTTTTTGTACTAATTTGGTAAATCTACACGTGCACACATCTAAGTAACCCTCAATTGCCGAAATTTGTAACAGTCGGAAAACGCTATAGGAAATGTCGCTGAAAGTGGCCGAAACACCAAAATGATGCTTTGGACACATCGCCAAACAGTACACCGGATAATATGTAATGTTTGAATGGTTCCTAGTTCAAGATAAAATTCTGAAATTGGCAATATTGTATCGAGCACCCATCAGTAAAACTCCATTAGCTCCATTAGCTGAAATATTTCACAAAATAGTTTTCAAGTAGTAAGCTCCTTGCGAGGATATTTTTTTTATTTTGTTGTACGAAGTAAGTTTTGGAAACATATACTTCATGAAAAAAAAAGAGGATCATTTAGGTAGTGTTGAGTTAGTTTGTTTAGAAAAAGGAGTATCCTTTGTTCTCTCTAGTAATTTTTCGAAAAGTCAACTTTTCAGGAAAATTGTTCTTTAGCCCGAGTCTCTTTTATTATGCAGAAAGGATATCCTCCTTCCTTATATTCGCATAAACCAGTATGACTAGTATGAAGCAACTTGCAGCATGACAATCGATCAGAATATCGCATTCTCGTTTTGACATAGAACTCAAATAGGGTTCATTTTTTTCGCGAAAACAAGTCTCTTGTGATCGGGAAATGGAAAGTGAAAAATCAAGATTCTTGGTCTTTAACATAGATCATTGTGGGACCAAAAATGTGAAAGGTTGTATGATAGGGAGAAATCACGGCAGTTATGGGATGAAGTTGCTAATAATTTGAATTCTAATCAATTAAATGATGATTAGCAAATATTTTATCAACCAAATATTTTCACCTTGGTTTTGGATCGAATAGAATCGTCTTCAGTAATGAGTAATGAGTTTTCGCCGTTGAACAGATATCCTGATTTGAACTTTGACTGAAACTCGTCCGAGTACAGAGCGAGAATTGCACTGTAACCGCAGCCTAACGTGGTTACCTCTTTATAACTTTTGAATGGTTTGCAGTGAGAAGTGAAATTCTGAAATTCGGATAAATTGAAATAAGTCATAATTCATAATTAATTGATACTATCTTCTATTTAATGAATCGTTCTCAGGTGGCTGTGACCTCAATGAAGTATTTTAGTGCCACTTTCTTCTCAAAGAAACTATATGGTCCACCATCTTGATTCATCAACTCATTTCTATTTTTCAGTGGCTACATGCATTAATGCCATATTTGTAAACAGCTCATAAGAAAAAATGTAGTTCAGTATAACAGTAACGAGAAATAATGGAGGAAGGTGTACAAATAGTTAATATTTATTATACAAGGGAAAAAAGTAGTAGATTTTAGCTCCAGGTTGTGTTGTCTGCCGACGCGTAGCGGAGGGAGACAAAATACCGTGAGCTAAAATCTAATATTCTTCCCGTGTATAATACACTATTTTTTTCTGTGACAGAAAGAAGGACGAATCAGTATTTAGAACATATTACATTATTTCGAAATCTGAAAATTATCGACGTGAAATTTCAAGTTTTTAACAGTAGGGACACCTGCGTTTTATAGGCATCTTTATCATTATTTTGAAGTAATCAAATATCTGATGTCACTTCTGTCAGTTCAATTCTGTGATTTGATTTTAAAAAATTGCGAATTCAGTAGTTGTTTATAGTAATATCCGAAACCGCGAAGTCGAATGGAAGATAAAAGGACTTGCAGTTCTTTCTCGGACTCTATTGACTCATTTTTCGGAACAATAGCACAACAAAAGCCATTAACAGAGTATAAATTTATGTGATATATATCCGGGAAAAAAGTACTCACTTTTTTCCCACGGGAAAAAAGTAATTTATGAAAAGTGACATTTTATAACCTGCCAACAGAGATGAAATGCCAAACTTTTTTCCCGTCACAGAAAAAATTACATATAGTGGGGTGAAATCACACTTCATTTATTCTTGTTTTATACATTTGAATTAATCTAAATTATAAGATGAGTATTCCTAGATACGAGGGAGTGGCCAGAATGAGCCCGTTTCAGTGAAAAATGTTATTTCATCATTTTGAAGTAGGCGTGTACTACAAACTTGTTCACTATCATACGCTTTCTCTGCAGAGCTCTATACATTTCTTGAATAAATAATATTTAAATCAACGATATGTCATAACATGAAAAACGCTAGAATTGATATTTACCGGGACTAATACAATTCAACCATATAACGGATTTTTCTGAAATTTGATACAGTTAGGTACATAGCAACCATTTCGGATTTGACCACATTACAATCCAATATGGCGGTATTTTTCTGGAAATGCCAGCAACTATGTTTTTTCATATGTAAAACCCTGTTTCTTTTCATATTCAAGTTCAATAGGTGAAAACAAATGCAATCTTCATGTCGAATGTCATTTTTCCGGAAATGTTTTTCATTTCACCTCCTGGATACATGAGATGTGGTCAAGGCTTTCACAGTGAGTCGCACATAACAGAGAAACATATTTTTTCAAAAAAAAAATTATTCTTTGTGTCTTTTATCGATGAATCAATTCAGACACATCACATTTTGATCAAATGGAAACCCTTACCCTATGAGCCACCTAAATATATCTCCTATTCTACACCTTCTCAGGTTGTATTTCAGGCAGCATCAATTCAACTTCAGGAAGCGTCAATTGTATTTCGAAATAGTCGCTTGTATTTCAGAAAGCATCAATTGTATTTCAGAATAGTCACTTGTATTTCAGAAAGGGTCATTTGAATTTCAATTGATATTTTCTGAAATACAATTGACACTTCCTGGAATTCATTTGACTATTCTGAAATACAATTGATGCTTTCTGAAATACAACTGGAAAAGGTGTAGAACATACAATACAATAGAACAATTTCTGTATTTTGGTGCAGTAACAAACCATTTAGATCTATGAACAAACTGTATACATACAGAGAAGTGCACAAAAACGGCCAGGATTGTGATTTTCGAATTATTCTAGACACAAACTTTTGATTTTTAAATCGGACACGCTGTATATTGTATTCCATAATCAGTTAGGGATGATCATGACGAATTCAACGATACCGGGTTTGATAGGGTTATTTCAAACGATTACAAAGATATTTGCGTTCGAAGTTTCCATAAGCTCAATGGGTGTGACTTCGCAATATCAAAGCTTCTATCTTTGTCACACTCATTGAGCATATCGAAACTTTAGAATGCGAATATCTGCGTAATCGTTTGAAATAACCCTATCAAACCTGGTATCGATGAATTTGTTTTAACAATCCCTAACCGATTATGGAATACAATACATGGTGTCTCATATGAAAATCAAAAGTTGGGGTCGTTTCCAGTGAAACCGGAATTGATATAACAAAAATAGCTTCGTCCATTAATAAGCAATTTGGTATACTAACTGCCCATCAATTTTCAAAACCCCTTTTTCGAATAATCCAAAAGTTACAGTCCTGGCCGTTATTTTGTGCACTTTTCTGTATATTCTACTCTATACTACTCTACTCACTCAAAAATCCACAACTACATCATCTCCAGTTGTATTATTTCAGGAAGCGTCGATTCAATTTCAGAAAGCTTCAATTGTATTTCAGAAATTGTCATTTGGACTTCAATTGATATTTTCTGAGACGGTCTTATTAGCTTATTTTTCGGAACTCCGAGAAAGAACTGCCAGTATTTTTACCTTCCATTCCACTTCGCGGTTACGTAAATTATTTTAGAACCACAAAGTTTGCAATTTTTTGAAATCAAATCACAGAATCAGACTGACAGATATTTGATTACTTCGAAACAATAATCAAGAAGCCTACAAAAAGATGCCTGCAACCACGATGTCCTGCAACGCAGGTGTAGTTCCTGTTAAGAACCTCAAATTTTACGTCGATGATTTTCTGTCAGAGAAAAAAAAATTGTACCAGGGAAAATATTATTAGCTCACGGTTTTTTGTCTCCTTCCGCTACGCATCGGGAGTCAACACTAAAATCTAATTCATTTTTCCCTTGTATGATGTATAACTATTATTCAATGAGAATTCTATTTTCCTTCTAAAACGTTTGATCTTGCAAAATTCTAAATTTTTCACCACCAAAATGAGATCTATTTCTGGTTGACCCCGTCCCCAGGTTGAAACTTTAATTACGTCACTGTTCACTATTGCGACAATCAAATTCATTAACAATCTAATCATTGTCATCATTGCAAGCATAATTATTTACAGTCTTTGTATGATAATTCGTCAGTAGGAAGGTACTTAGCAAACAAATAAGCATTTGTGGGTACAATCTATTGACATGTTGCTGCGACATCCATGCTGAAATGATAATGGTTAATGAAGATTTGGTACTAATTATTGTATTATTCTAGCTCTTTGAAAATTTGTTTAGCCTGTCGATTCGAAATTCAGATTATTTGGGTTGATAATTCCATATTAGTCAGCAATTACAGAGTCAATGAGATTGCTTAATAATTGAGTCATGCATGATGGCCAGTGTAAGTTTTTTATCTCTTGGAGCGCACAACGATAATATTGAATTAAAAGGTACCGCAAATGGTGGAACATTATTCATCCCAACTTTTCTGCATCCACAAATCCTCATCATTTTTCTTTCCATAGATACATATACAGCCACTATTTTTTGTTATATTTTTTTATGATCTGCGTTCCCACCAAAAGGGATATCCTGTAATGTTCAGAGAACATTGTGAGAACCAAGGGAAATGAGGTAGGAATTGGTGTTCTTCTTGAATTTTTGGAGGTTATATGCCTCGGGTAACATCTCCCTTGGCAATGTGTTCCAGAGCCTCGCTGTTCGTTGGATGAATGAGTCTTTGGAAAAATACTGCCAAGGGAGGACCAATTGTTGATATTTCAGAAGAGCATCGTACTTGAAAATATCTATAAAATAAAGCCAGATCGCTAACTTTTCTACGGTATTCCAGAGAAGTGAGTGAGTTTGTGAGTGAGGCATCACCCACGAGACGAATAGCCCTCTTTTAGACAGGACAGGTCGGATCTGTGCCTTATAGATCATGAGCAGCTGACTGGAAGTGGAATAGCTCCTGACTCGAAACAGAAAACCAAGTGTTTGGGATGCACTTTTAGCAATAATTGGTCTTACGTGATTTTCCCAAGAAAGGTTATTGCTGATAGTAATACCAAGCATCGAATTGGATGTCTTCAAAGGTATGGTTACTCCTGACAAGCTCATGTTGGACACAGTGAGATCGGCTCTTCTAGAGAAAAGGCATGGTTGTGTTTTGTTTGCATTGAAATCAACCAAGTTATTGGATCCCCATTCGAGAATTGTTGCGGAGTCCATATTTATGTTGTCAACATTCCTCCCTCGTTCGTTTCTGATTTATATTATACTCGTTTTTTTCCAATTTCTATTCTTCTGCTTTAAACCTTGTGGTGTGGCAGTACTTGTTGATAAGGAAGCGGGATTGGTCAAAGAATTCGTAATTGAAAGCAGACGGCACCAAACCCGATGATAAAACTGGAATAGGAGTCTACCAGGTACTTTGAAAACCTTTGCAAATACCCAAGCATATTCCATATTCATAGTTATTCAGTTATATCTAAAAAAGTGAGTTTTTAGAATATCTACACGGTTTTTTGTCTCCCTCCGCTACTCGTCGAGAGACAACACCACTTCGAGCTTAAATCTACTACTTTTTCCTCTATAATAAATAACTATTTTAGCCAAACTATCAATTTTTGAGGAATCTCCTAAGACAGCAGGTCAATTTCTATTTTCAATTTGTCACACAAAATTGAAACATCCAATGATATATAATGATTTCAGTATAAACCTTTCCCATCTGGAATTTAGACATCGAGAAATAGAAACTAAACTTGTTCTGTTGATGAGGCTACCGGGAAAACACATTTAAATGAAAGTGTGCCAAGGGGGTTTGTTCTTCGGAGGTGCCAGATATTTACACTGAAAGGTGGTGTGGAAATGAGTTAGGTATACCTACTTATTTTCTATGTCTATATTTCAAGACAGAGCCAACAAAAAAGTTGGAAATCTTATTGGACTCCTGAAGATTTAGAAAAACCTTGTAAAACTGCGTTTTCTTGTACAGGAGGATGTTTCCAGTAGTGAAAGTAACAGCGACAGGACTAGATTCCAAGGCGATGTACACCATACACTTGGAATTCGTCCAAATCGATCCCCACAGATGGAAATACGTAAACGGGGAATGGGTTCCAGGAGGAAAAGCAGAAGGACCCCCCGCAAACCCCATCTATATGCACCCTGAATCCCCCAATTTCGGGGCGCACTGGATGAAGGAATCTATTTCTTTCGCAAAGGTGAGCATGATATCTGATTTATATTGTCACAACAAATGGGTTGTTCCCACCATGTCACGATATAGTAGAGTGGTTAGCCCATCCATATCGATTTATATAGGGGTAATGCTTGGCTAAATAGTTGGCGAGAGGTAATATTAGAATAGGCACTAATAGTTTTGGGGTAACTGAAAGTATGAGACTACATTCAAACATAACAATATATATTATAGCGTGAAACATTATGGGTGAAGTGATTATAAATATGAGTAAACAACAATGAATATAAAGACCTAATAACAACTTACATTATAACGACCATTACGACGAGCTCTTGTCAAGTCAAGAGTAGCCCCAGACCAGACTAACTTCGGAACCCTCAGATCCAATATTTATATACATCATTTTATTAGAAATGCACGTTTCTCATGAGAGTTCCTTGGTCAGTTTTTATAATTCAATGTCAACGGATGATTTGATTTACTTTATGTTTATAAAACCCTCATGGTTAGAAATTACTGATATACCGTATGTTCTACTCGTGACATGACCCCTCTCTCCGAGAAAACTGGACCCCAGTTTTTAAATTACTACCTACCTAAATATATCGAGGAGAACATTCAAAATTGATTTGCATATTGTACAAAGAGTTTCAGAAAAAAAAAATATTCACAAACATTCATAGTTTAGTGTCTACAATGCACACTCACACCTTTACTAAGTCCGGCACTGGCTATTCAACAAAAGCATTTCAATCAGACTCTTCTCGGTGAGACTCCTGGCAGCTTGGGGGTAGGGAATGACGATTGGGCATGGCATCCTCCAATCGTCATGGGAATTTCGGCAGGATCCTTTCGGGCTCGAAGGTATCCTTGTCCTGGGCATCGGGATGAAATCCTTTGGGCTTTAAGATTTCTAAGACTGTCATTCGAGGTAGTTGGCAGCTGAACGAAGGGAACTGCTGGGTTCTTGGGGTAGCGAATGACGACTGATGGGCATCCTTCAATCGTCGTGGGAATTTTGGCGGGATCCTTTTTGGGCTCGAAAGGTATCCTCGTCCTGGGCATAAGGGTGCTGGAATCTTTTTGAACTCCAAAGATTATTGGGCTTCTCTCGTTCTGGGCTGATACTCTGAAGTAGGAATCCTTTGGGCTTCAAGATATCCTGGCTTCTAGTATTGGCCTGTCTCTTGAGGGTAGTTGGCAGCTGAGTGAGAAGAATTACCAGCTATCTTGGTAGTTGCTGTGATACCTGGTAGATGACTTGGTCCATGAAAGGAACGATGAATTTCCGTCATTCCAGTGGTTCGTCAGGCTATCCACAACTCTTGGCAACTCCTGGCATTCCTACGTTTTTCCTCTTCGTTCCTGGGCTACCCAGCAGCTACCATCGAATCATGCTGTATACAGTCCTCGTTTGGTCATCTTGCTGCATCTCCCTGGGTGTCTGACTTCTTGATAAATGTTGTATGCCAGTGCTCAGTGTGCGTGCATTGTTTTGTGTGAAGCCGTGAAACCATGCAAAAAAACAATTGATTGTCAAATACCTACTTTACTATTTATATTAAAATGGGGAATTCTGTATAACCCTATATATTACTATCACATAATAGATCGAAAAAGTTGAATGTACAAAATTGAAGATGAGCAATAAATGATTAACCTATGTGCCTCGATATGCTAAATACCTCATTCAATTCATTAAATTCCTATATTATTTGTTTTAGTATACCATTATGTCCTGATGATTCCAAATTTTTAGACTTTAGATCTAGAGTTAATTATTACTTATCAATTATAAATGTTATTGGGAAAACTCATTTTCATTCAATTTCTCAAAATAATCATTATCCCATTTTGTATTAAAAACATATCAACACGCTTTCTCGAGTTTCCCAAAGCATGATTCATCATTAAACCTATGATTAAAATAAACAATATTATACTAACTAGAACAAAGTAACGTGAACGAAGTGTCAAGTTCATGATTATATTATCATCATAATAAAGAGTTTGTTTTCACTAATAAGCAAAAGTTATCATTCATTTCAGGGAAATTTGAACGTCGTCTTCCATTTCGAAAAAAAAAATGTATTGCAAATATAGTTTCTTAATTAAAAAAAAAGAAATAGTTGATTGAATGAATGACGACACAAGAAAAATTATGAGGTATCTACATATCTACTTAAATATTTATATTTGTGCCAAATTATGAAAAATTTCCCGATTGGTTCCCATTCCATCCAATGAGTCAATGAATTCGAATGCATTTTCTGTAATGGGTAATATATCTCGAGATCGAGATTAAAGTGAATTGATGCCAATATTGCCAATTGGAAATCATTTTTGTGAACAGATAAATTGAAATTATGGTTAAAAAATAATTAGAGTCATGTGAACAAACCAACGTGCCTTCTCGTTGAAAAATTTCATAAAAAAAATTACCTATTTGATGAATATATTATCGAAATTGTCACCATTTTATTTCATACTTACATATTGATCATTTTTGACATTCCAGGTCCAATCCGTTAGATTTAAAAGAATATTCATCTGACAACTCATTATTGGCAGCTTGAATAAACTGATGAACCGTCCGAGAATTGGTACTTTCATGTACTTTGAGCAATATTTTGACTCAAGGTACCTTGAGATTATTTTTTGTTTAATATGAAATATTATCAGAACTTTATTCGATTTATTTATTCATCTTTGGTGTAACCGGTTACACAATGATTTAGCGTTTATTCAATTAAAAAAAATATATTAATTTCCCTATTCACCATGTTTCGATGAATTCAAGTAGTAAGATAGTTTATTATGAGAAAATTGAAAAATATGTTGTGATATTTTATCACTTATACATTATTGAACTGATTGAAAATACTCCTTTTAAATACCGCATGCTCATTCCTCCAACTTTGTTAGATCTAGACCGTACATTTCTTTGTCTAACAACTCGCAAATATTTTCCATTTTCGGAAAAATCATCCCCGGGGGTAAATATCATTATAATCATCTTCATAATTCATAAATATACATAATCATCATATACGAGCTCATTATTCCACATTAAATCATCATTTCATGTCCTATCAATTCGAGGACAAAATATATTCAGTAAGGTTAATCCTTCATGCCTTAGTGTGGCACATCTTCCAGGATTCCCTCCTATTTTCTGTTATAGTGCACACTTTCAACTATAACACTTCGTACTTTTTAGAATATCAACCAAACAGCTACTTCTCTGGATGGTTTGGCTAGGACCACGAGATATGCTGAATAGGGTGATGATTATTCTGTACGGAAACGGTTAACACTTGTAACCAAGTAACAATCTCTTCATTGAGAGTTTACATACACATCAATATTCTTGAGCTCAATTAATTCATTTCATATCATATTTCCATAACATAATAATATCATATTTGCGTATACTTTATTTTGGGAGGAGTGATAAAAAATGGTAAAACGATACTAACGTTTAAGAGTATTTTCAATATTTGAAAGGTCATATAGGTATTATACTGACTAAGATATTTTGAATCCAAACATTCTCAACTATTACTTGAATTATTAATTATTTGCATTCGCACTAATATTGAAATTTATTATGAATTATATCGAGCACGACGATTTGTTATTATTGTTTTCATTTCGTATTGTTATAAAACAATAGGCACGTTGTGGATGACTTATTATATTTTTACTTGATATAGGTGTTCTTGGCAATGGCATTGGAATTCTTGATTGATTTCATCAATGATAACAAAAAAATAGTGGAAATAATCTTGATTTGAGGAAAAAAAACTGACAAGAAGGAAGAATTTCTTGCGAAATTCAGATAGAAAATTACGAATAGAGAAAAAAAAATAACAAAGTTCAGAGATAAGCTCCAAACTTTGTGAGTCTGGTCCGGTGCTTTATATCATGTCTTTGAATAGAAATGGAATGATTGTTATTCAACTTTTCAAGCTTACTGGTATTTAATATATTGAAAAAAAATTTGGATTTCTAATTTAAATGACTTTCTTACTTTGTTATCACCCATAATTCATGCTGCTATACTTGATTACTTTCAAATAACCCATTCTACTAGTGCCTTTGTATGAAATATAAAATTGACATAAATCGATGTATGCAAAAAAAATTGATGAGTCCATTATGAGGAATGAGACTCAAGGAAAGAAGCTTAGGCGCCTCCACCATGTCACAACAAATGGGTTGTTCCCACCATGTCACGATATAGTAGAGTGGTTAGCCCATCCATATCGATTTATATAGGGGTAATGCTTGGCTAAATAGTTGGCGAGAGGTAATATTAGAATAGGCACTAATAGTTTTGGGGTAACTGAAAGTATGAGACTACATTCAAACATAACAATATATATTATAGCGTGAAACATTATGGGTGAAGTGATTATAAATATGAGTAAACAACAATGAATATAAAGACCTAATAACAACTTACATTATAACGACCATTACGACGAGCTCTTGTCAAGTCAAGAGTAGCCCCAGACCAGACTAACTTCGGAACCCTCAGATCCAATATTTATATACATCATTTTATTAGAAAAGCAACGTTTCTCATGAGAGTTCCTTGGTCAGTTTTTATAATTCAATGTCAACGGATGATTTGATTTACTTTATGTTTATAAAACCCTCATGGTTAGAAATTACTGATATACCGTATGTTCTACTCGGCGCCTCCACCATGTCACAACAAATGGGTTGTTCCCACCATGTCACGATATAGTAGAGTGGTTAGCCCATCCATATCGATTTATATAGGGGTAATGCTTGGCTAAATAGTTGGCGAGAGGTAATATTAGAATAGGCACTAATAGTTTTGGGGTAACTGAAAGTATGAGACTACATTCAAACATAACAATATATATTATAGCGTGAAACATTATGGGTGAAGTGATTATAAATATGAGTAAACAACAATGAATATAAAGACCTAATAACAACTTACATTATAACGACCATTACGACGAGCTCTTGTCAAGTCAAGAGTAGCCCCAGACCAGACTAACTTCGGAACCCTCAGATCCAATATTTATATACATCATTTTATTAGAAATGCACGTTTCTCATGAGAGTTCCTTGGTCAGTTTTTATAATTCAATGTCAACGGATGATTTGATTTACTTTATGTTTATAAAACCCTCATGGTTAGAAATTACTGATATACCGTATGTTCTACTCGTGACAATATTCCTGATGTCGGTTTACAGAATCAAGTTGGATTTCTCCCTATCATTATTCAGATTATTCAAGTAGATGTTTTATCAAGCTTTTTGAAGTTGGTGTCATTATCTCATGTTCATTAGGCTGAGGGGGCGTTTTCTTTATGACGGTGTATACCATGAAGGCGTTCAATAATAGTTCAATAGATTGTAAGTTTGGTGTCCCACAAGGAACCGTACTGGGACCCATATTATTCACTATTTATATAAATAATCTTCTCAAAATGGATAGCCGTGGAAAGATATAATTAGTTTCGCAGACGATACAGCCATTTTATATCAAGCTGATAGCTGGAAAGAACTCAAAGACCAAGCTGAAAATGACATGAAATCTATCAAAGATTGGATGGATTATAATTTACTGACAATCAACTTCGAAAAAACTAAATATATCACATTCACATGCATAAATAGGAACTTACCAGACTATGAAACTCTGAAAATTGATGAGAATCATGTGATAAAAAGAACCGACTATATCAAATATTTAGGCATTATTATAGATAAACATTTGAGATGGGATAAGCACATAGAAAACATCAGCAGAAATCTCAGATGTTTAATCTATAAATTTAAACTTCTCAGAACAATTCTAGATACTAATAAACTCAAAATGGTTTATCATGCTTTAGTAGGTTCCCGATTAAACTATGGCATCATAGGATGGGGTGGTGCAATGAACACACACCTTGAAAAAATTAGTATTATACAAAAGAAAATATTGAAAATAATCTTAAGAAAACCTCATACCTATCCGTCAGATAATCTCTATACAGAAGCGAAGATCTTCGACATAAAGTAATTGTTTTATCGTACCATTGTGCTATATCAATTCAGAAATAAATCAAATCTACAATCTCTAAACCATGAATATAATACGAGACAACAAAGCAATTGTTACAAAACTCCATTTTCTACAAAAACAGTTGGCCAGCGCAATTTTGCTTATTTAGCGCCAAGAATGTACCAGATTCTACCCAAAGGTCTAACAGAACTTGATAATCTACGCCAATTCAAGAAAAAATTGAATGAATTTATTGCAAAGTATCCGAGAAATCAACTCATCAAAACAATAGACATGATGCAAAGATAAAAATTCGTGACACTTATATCTCACATTATTTACACACCTTCATCAATCAATACACCTTTTAGTTTCACACATTACTTATACACACTCTATCAATATATTATATGTTATTTTATCTGTCTGATGTTTATCTATGCCTATTATGTTATTACTTATATTATTTTATTCACAAATCCAGTATTTATACATTTTCACTACACTTCATCTATACATTGTTATTAAAATTAAAATTAAAATTGAAATATGATTATAGATTATAGAATTAGTATATACAACAAACCAATGTATGTTATATAAATCTTAACAACTCACGCACAGGCAATCTGCCTTAGTGAGTTTTGCGGTTTATTGAAACTCTATTTCTGAATCCATATTGAATTTTATACAAAACTGTACTTTTTCAATAAACTATATATTATTATTATTATAGATTGTGATAAAAGGAAAATGAATTATAGTTAACCCACTAACGCCTATAGGCTATAGGGACCAAATGGGCACACAATAATACACTGCTGTGCGAGAGTGAGTATTTCTGTATCTGTTTCCTCGAACAGATGGAACTGAATGTCAATTGTGCAATACAATATATACAAAAGAATGACGTAGCATCAAGATTATGTGCATGATTGAAATCATTAGACTTGTACAGTCGCCTAAATTCCACTGTACCCGTATGGGCCCACTAGGCGTATGAGTCCATCTGACATTTATTAGCATTGTTTACTGGCATCTAGCGACATGGCTTTATAAATGTGTTGTAATGGCGACGGGATCTCTTCGCAGTGCAATCTTCGCTCTGCAATGCAATTACCGATATATGAGGGAAATATTCGCGATAAGCACACGTTGTCTCTGGCTTGTGATTGGTCAGAGGTCAGATTATGTGATGAGTGAAATAGCCCCACTCATTTCAAAATGCACACGATTTTCATACCTGATGATAATCAAAAACATTATGAATATTTTGGTAGTTCGGCTATAAAATTTCTCATCGGTAGTTAAATCAATAGAACATATTTATTACATATGAAAACACCAACGACTGCCTTTTTATTCTGATGAGCCTATCAGCGTTGGTGTTCAATGATGCAACCAAAGATAAGAACAACTGTAGCTGTAGAGACGTCAGAATGAATCGCCTAAGGTTGGTTCTATCAACAATTTTTGACACCGGTTTCAAAAAGGAACGCAGTGTACCACATTAGAAGATCATATGTTTCCCAGCGAGCACAAAAACATCTCAGAGATGTTAAAAGTACGAGATTTCGAGACATTGAACCTCCACTGCGATGTTCTGTTCACACATGAATAGAACTATTATAGAACAGCCAATGTCCGCCGCAGGCGGCAATTATCGAGATGTCCTTGATATGTCACAAAACTACCTTTTCCCTAGTTCTTTTTAAAGCCTTTCCATGGACACAACAAAACATTTTCAACGCGTCTTGCGCACATTAAATCGCTGTAAAAAAACCATTTTCGAGATACTTTTTTGAAGCCTTTTGTCAAAATGAACTTTTGCATTAGGATTCCATTTCCCTTGAATGAAAAAATGCATTAAAAATAGATTGAACATAAAAATATTTTCTTGATATGAAATTACCTTCTTAATCGGTTTCTGGGTAGTGCTCACTACACACAGACATATAATTGGAAATAGGTTTCCCAATTTTTGAAATGTTCTCCACAATGCATAATTTTGAAACTGCGGAGAAGCTGTGTATTGATGAATTCGTACTTTTATATATTGATTACACTGAGGCCTCGAACAACACATCTTGCATCTGATGGTCATTATTACAAACTAAATAAGTCTTCTAACACAATAAACTTCACCAAATTCCTATCTGTTCGTTAGCAGTGTGATGTACCTAAGCGTGACACGCTGCAAACGCGAATGCCAATTGCGAACAAGAAGAACAAAATCGAAAACAAATCAGAATTCATCGTATTGTGACGTAAGCATGAGACGTTTGTGGTGGGGCAAACAAAGAAAGGGCACAAAAGAACAAAAACAATACTTTCAATATCCTTCTCAGACCTCTTTGGGAAGTGCATATTACGCCTCAAAAAAACATCCTCATGCCTATACATTTCTAAAACATCCCAGGGATACCTCTCAGTAGGCAAACAAAGAAATGCCACAGAAGAACAAGAACAATACTTCAATATCCTTCAAAGACCTCTTTGGTCAGTGCATATTACGTCTCAAAATAACCTCTTCATGCCAACATTTTCAAAACATCCCAGAACATCCCAGGGATGTTTGTGCTCGCTGGGTTATATATCCTCATGGTTCCCTCAGGGTCTCACGAGAATGACAATCCCGAGGTACCCTATAGCCGGATACTCATTAATCATCAACGTGTTCCTAGTGGTATCCTCTTCACTCTTCAGTTTTCAATCTTTTCTATCGGCCTCTTTTGGTCAATTCTTCTTTTGTTCTTTCTCCTCTAAATCCCAACCTGCTGTGAACATCTGAGTGCAGGGATGGGGCAATTTGTGAACATCTGCTGATATGGCCGCGGATTTATTACGAGGCTCTGGCAACCTAATCCAAGTTGTGAGAACCAGTGATGAGGGATAAATGGCACCGATGTTATATATAGTGTCGATAACGGGACCTCTGGGAAACAGGGCGACATCTCAGAGTAAACAGCCTTAGCCCTGTGCAAGGGGCACCAGCACAGGGCTGGACCAACCCCTTCTCTCATTAATCGTAGAAGAAGGAAAACTTGGCCTTCTTCATGGACGAGACCAGGGCTCAGAAGAGTAGTCTTCAGGAACCTGAATGAAAAGGCCGGGTCATTCATACGAACCTCTGGTACTGTAAACAGCAGTACTCACAGTTACTGTGGCAGCATTTGAGGTGGCCCTTTATGAGAACCATGTGTCGTATATGGTAAAATCAATAACGGTATATTCGAAGTACAATGGTACAATGGGCAAACTGGCCTAAGTGTCATGACAAACTCTGGCCAGACGAGCCTTGAAAGGAGGTGGAGTATTTAGTGGGTACACCTACATGTAGGGAGTCCCACACTACCATGAAGGAAATGGTCCTCCGTAGACTACTTCCGAAAAAAAACACCATGGTGGAATAATGAACGTTTCAACAAACTAGTATATCCTACGACTACTTTTGTACTTTAGACAATTTAAGATTTCTCAAACACGTAACAAATAATGAATTAGGTATTGAACAGTAAACACAATCATGATTTTCAGGTGAAGCTTACCAACAAATCTAATGGAACAGGCCAAATAATGCTTAACTCCCTGCACAAATATGAGCCGAGAGTCCACGTGGTTCGTGTTGGTACTGAGTCAAGTCGCGTGATGACTTTTCCATTTCCGGAGACGCAGTTCATAGCAGTCACTGCCTACCAGAATGAAGAGGTGACGTCGCTGAAGATAAAGTATAATCCCTTTGCTAAGGCCTTCCTGGATGCCAAGGAGAGGCCCGATAGCTTGTATGGTCAACGAGAGTTTTCTAGTAATTATGGACAGCAACCTCAGTATTCTCAGTGTGAGTAGTGTAGTAGCTCAGTCAACGATAGATTTGTAGAGGACATGAGAGAGGACAATTTTCTCACTTTCGTCAACTGAATGCCACTTTGAAAGATATTTTTTATGAATGGAATGGGAGGTCGACTGATACCACATTGGAAATATGTCTTTCAATTCCGTATACGACGCCTGACTTTCAGCTAAAAAAAATCATCCAAAACAAAATGGCGGATGATATAGTTATTAACGTTACAATGCCGTTATTTGCGTATCGGCCGTGTGTCTTTCAAGACTGTTCGTATTTTCCATAGCAGATATGAATAATAAAACTGACGATATTAGCAGATTTCATTTTTATCAGAAATTGAGTTTTCAAAGCAAAATGCACTGAATAGAAATTTTAATCGTACTGAGGACTTTCATTTCAATGAATTTAGTGGAAACATATTTGAGCTTTATTATTGTGGTATTAGTTCCTAACATTCGTTCCCTGACCGCTTCAACAGATGCTTGGCAACACCGCAGAGCAGGCTTGACGTGGCGACAAGAGAATGACAGCAGACAGCTAACACCTGAACACCAGGAATTATTATGTGAACAATAACAATTATTTTTATGTTTTATTCTGATAAGTTAAACAATAAACCTTTGCCACAATTGAAGTAGAATCCATACACCATCATACTACATTTTGGCGACGAGGAAGTGGAAACTCATTGTGTGTGTGAAGTTCGGAATAAATGTCGCGAACGGCGCGAATCCAGTCAACAAAGTGGTAGTAAACAATACCAGACGAAGATTCTAAGGTGAAAAACAATTTAAAAAAAAAACACTGTCGAATTAGCAAACTTGAGTTGAGGAACTAAAACAATTAGTTTTTTTTTTTGGTGATAAGTGCACCCTGAACAGACGTTTTTAGTGTGTGTGTGCAAGATGAGTAACAACGATTATGCCAAAGACTTTCGTTTTGAGAGGTTTGACTCTACCAAAGAGGAGTGGGAATACTATGCCCAGAGGTTTGAGATGGAACTGCTAATACATGGGTTGTTAACAATAGATACCCAGGAGAAAAGACGAAATCTGCTTTTATCTAAGGTAGGCCCAGAACCATTCAAAATTTTAGTCGACCATTTCAAGCCAGATCCGGTGAATACCAAGACCTATCAGGAACTGAAGACAGTACTAAATAGCTATTATGGCAAGCAAACATATATTTTTGCTGAAAGAATACAGTTTGCATCCAGATTTCGTAAAGACGATGAATCTATAACCCAGTTTGTTACTGCATTGCGAGGGCTAGCAGGAAACTGCGAATTTGGTGATAGTTTACGGGAAAGATTACGTGATCAGCTGATCATTGGTTTAAATTCGCCTGAGTGGCAAGAACAAATTATTCGGATGCACCCAACAAATGCAGCAACTTTGGAACAGGTTCAAGCTTCTGCTACTGCTTTCGAACAAGCTGCTATTCAATCAAAGCGTCTAACAGAAATTTCAAAATCACAACCTGGTGCACATGCAAATTATTTGAATAAATATCCAAATAATAAAAAAATATGGCAAAAACACTCCCAACAAGCATCTACCAGTACCGATAAGCATATAGTTATTTTAGATCCGAACAAACAGTGCGTTTTTTGTGGAAAACTCAAACATCAGGACAAGAGTGATTGTCCAGCATCTGGAAAAAGATGCTCGGAGTGTTCTGAAAAAAATCATTTCGCCCGTGTGTGTATCTCAGCAGGGAATGCAAAAATAGTTAAAAATAAACAAAAACGAAGTACTCGCCATGTACGAGATGCTACTGAGTCAGATTATCAATCCTCTGAGGAATCTGAGGACACAGGTAGCGACTCCAATGAGAGTAGTTTTGCAAATGTTACAAATGTACGAAAAGTGAACTCAATAAACAAAGTAATGATCAAAGTTCACATTAACAGTTTGAAAATTGAAATGCTGTATGATACTGGCGCAGCCCATTCGGTAATAGGCAGAAAAATTTGGCAAAAATTAGGTAAACCAAAATTGAAACAAACTCAGAATCTCATTGCCTATACTGATTTAGAAATACCCACTCTAGGCATAATCGAAGTTGATGTTCAAGCTTTCAAGGGGCAAAAACATACCTTACCTTTATATGTTGTTGAAACTGATGATATCCCACTTTTTGGATTAGATTGGTGTTTAAAATTCAACCTAGTACTGCCACCTGGATCAAGAATATGTAATTTGACATCTGAATCTAATATTATAGTCCAGGAGAAAAATCATCCAATAGTCCAGGAACAAATGTCTGAATTTGGTAAAATTTTGATGGAATTTGAAGAACTTTTTAGTGGTGAACTAGGGGTCATAAAAGGGTTCCTAGCCAAGATCCACATCGATGAGAAAATAAAACCAAAAACATTCCGGTCCCGGAATGTACCGATACCTTTACAGGAACAGGTCAGTGCAGAGATCGATAGACTCATTAGGGAAGATGTATTAGAACCAATCGATACTTCGATCACTCCTATTGAATGGGCATCACCAATAGTCATTGCCATGAAATCGAATGGAAATTTGCGAATATGTGGTGATTTTCGTGTTACCATCAATCCCCATGTCCAGATCGATAATTACCCACTTCCGAGATTTGACGATATCACTGCGAAATTGAGTGGAGGACAGTATTTTTCAACTATTGATTTGAAGGATGCGTATTTGCAATTGAAGGTACATCCTGATTCCAGAAAGTACCTGGTAATCATTACGCATCGTGGGTATTTTGCCTATAAGCGGCTTCCTTTCGGGGTATCATTTGCTCCAGCATTATTTCAGCGCACCATGGACCAAATCCTGTCAGGTCTAGATGGTGTGGTATGTTACCTCGACGACATCTTAATAACTGCCTCCACTATTGCCCAACATAATCAACGAGTTAGATCAGTTTTGAAATGTTTACTAGCTGCGGGAGTTAAAACACAGAAAGCAAAATGCCAATGGCTGAAGAATAGTATCACCTTTTTAGGTCATAGAATTGACAGCGAGGGCCTGCATCCAACACAGGACCGTATTCAGGCAATTCAGAACATGCCATGCCCAACAAATACTAACCAACTTCGTTCATTTCTTGGTTCTATCACTTATTATGGCCGGTTTATAGAAAACCTCCATGTACATTGTGTACCGTTATACAGATTACTGAAGAAGGGTCAAAAGTGGGAGTGGAATAAAGATGATGATGAAATATTTTCGAAGTTGAAAAAGAAACTGACAGCATCAGATACTTTGGTACATTATAGCCATGATCTACCTCTAGTGATTACCAGTGATGCTAGTGATAAAGGCGCTGGTGCAGTCTTGTTCCACAAATATCCCGATGGACAAATGAGGCCAATAGCTTTCGGTTCAAGAAAATTCTCCGATGTGGAAATGCGTTATTCCACCATTGATAAGGAAGCTTTAGCACTCATATTCGCTGTAACTAAATTCCACCAATATGTTTATGGTCGTCGTTTCATGTTATTGACTGATCATAAACCGCTTGAAAGAATATTTGGAGAAAATCGTGAAACTCCCAAAGTTGCCAGTAATAGGTTACTTCGGTGGGCAATGCTATTGAATAGTTATAATTTCACCATTGCTCACCAAGCTGGCAAAGAAAACGCCGCAGCTGATGTACTCTCCCGATTACCTATAAATGATGATACCATATCAAGCCTTGAGGAGGAAGGGCTTCCCAAAAGAGGACATTTGCTGAACTTACGTCTACGAAACTTGCCAATTACCAAACGAAAGTTGAGAGACGAAACAAGTAAGGACCCAAAGTTCCAAAAAGTTTTACATTGTCTAAATACTTATTGGCCTGATAAGAAGAATATCCCAGAAATAATTTTACCATACTATGAAAAACGCAACGAACTGTCGTTTGAGGAGAATATTCTTTTATGGAAGGGGAGAATATGCATACCCGAAACACTACGAGAGGAGGTTCTCAAGCTTTTACATGATGGCCACCCCGGTATAAGTGCTATGCAGTCTATGGCCAGATATCATGTATATTGGCCTAACATTGATTTGGAGTTGGTTGACCACATCAAATGTTGTGTTTCCTGCCAAGAGTCAAAACAAAACGATCGGAAAGTTCCTTTATATCCTTGGAGCGTGCCACCCGAGCCATGGTCGCGAATACACATAGACTTTGCCGGACCATACGAAGGAAAAATGTGGCTAATTATTATAGACAGTTATACGCGATGGTTAGAAGTGCTTTCGGTTAAAAACATTACGGCAGAGACAACAATCCGTGCGTTAGGAGAAGTTTTTTCCAGATTCGGTCTTCCCAAATTTATAGTGTCTGATAATGGGCCACAGCTCGTTTCGGAGGATTTCGAACATTTTTGTACAGTGAATAACATAACACACATTAAAGTTACACCGTATCACCCTAAATCAAATGGACTAGCAGAGCGTGCGGTACGTACATTCAAAGACCGAATGAACGCGAGTGACAAAACTTTGGACTTGAAAACGCGATTGAATAAGTTTTTGTTTTCCTACAGAAACACCATTCAGCGATCAACAGGTAGAACCCCGAGTGAACTTATGTTCTCTAGAAAACCAAGAACTTTATTCGATCAGCTTAAACCCGATTTGAAACGTAACATGGAAAAGTCACAGTGGGACCAAAAACTGTATCATGATAAAGGATCACAGTTACAAGAGTTGTCCGAAAACCAGGATGTGTGGGTCAACAATCCACTGCACAAAGGATCGATACCCGGGAAAATCATAAAACAAACGGGGCCGTACTCCTATCTCGTAGATGTACAGGGTGTGACCAAGCGAAAACATGCTGATCAAATACGACCTCGAGTTCAAGAAGGTGTTTTGAAGTCAACAGAGCTGTCACCAACTGGTGATTATTTACCAACTGTAATCCAGATACCAGACCTCGGAGGAAAGCAAGAAAATGAACAGATAAATCAAAATGATAGTCCAACCCCATTTAGTTCTAGTTCAGAACATTCATTTTCTGAACCAGCACCGGTTGATCCCTTTCCAGATCAAGAAACCAGCAGTTCCAGTCAAACCGTGGAACCACGAAGGAATCCAACGCGGAACCGGAAACCACCGGCTCGTTTCCAGGACTAGCAATGACCCCCCCCTGTCCCATGTCTTCCTTATTTCTGTGGTGAAGGAGGAATGTGGTATTAGTTCCTAACATTCGTTCCCTGACCGCTTCAACAGATGCTTGGCAACACCGCAGAGCAGGCTTGACGTGGCGACAAGAGAATGACAGCAGACAGCTAACACCTGAACACCAGGAATTATTATGTGAACAATAACAATTATTTTTATGTTTTATTCTGATAAGTTAAACAATAAACCTTTGCCACAATTGAAGTAGAATCCATACACCATCATACTACAATTATCTCTTCAACTTCCAAAGTTTGTGTAGAACATTTTTCCAAAATTCACATTATATCTCGAGCATATAGAGCTGTCGTTGGAGATGGCATTAAGAAATATAGGTATTTATAGAAAACGGTCATAGCACACCAGACCAGAGACGCATTTCCAACCATATTTTCTCAATCAGTCATCATATATACCAACCTATATGTTCGTTATCTCAATTTTTTTTATTGCATTTCCTCGTTGGTTCCCAGCACTGGATCAAATACTCAATATATGAATTCCTTTTGGGACAAAACATGTGGCCTATCTATAGTTTATATTAATAAATTGTCGTGGAGATGACTTCGGGATTACTCACTTCAAATTTTCCAGAGATAGAATATAGGTCGAAGAGGAAAATGAAACCAATATGGCATTACAATTATCGAGTGCGTCGAACTGCCTGAACCGGAAAATTATTTCAATTTGATAATCGAAGAATACTTTTTATGTTTTTTTACATAACCTCATTCATCATATACAAGGTGTTCCTCAAAGACATGCTAATATTCGAGGGGGTGATTCTTTGGCCCCTTTTAGGAAGAAAACTCCATATGAACGTATGTCCTAAAAGTCTCAACTTTTGAGATACAGGGTGATGAAGTTTTGAAAAATATTCAGTTTTTTTATAATAACTGAGACAATATTGTATCCCAGCGAGCACAAAAACATATCATAGATGTTAAAAGTACGAGATTTCGAGACATTGAACCTCCACTGCGATGTTCATCTGTTCACACATGAATAGAACTATTATAGAACAGCCAATGTCCGCCGCAGGCGGCAATTATCGAGATGTCCTTGATATGTCACAAAACTACCTTCTCCCTAGTTCTTTTTAAAGCCTTTTCATGGACACAACAGAACATTTTCAACGCGTCTTGCGCACATTAAATCGCTGTAAAAAACATTTTCGAGGTACTTTTCTGAAGCCTTTTGTCAAAATGAACTTTTGCATTAGGATTCCGTTTCCCTTGAATGAAAAAATGCATTAAAAATAGATTGAACATAAAAATATTTTCTTGATATAAAATCACCTTCTTAATCGGTTTCTGAGTAGTGCTTACTACACACAGACATATAATTGGAAATAGAGGTTTCCCAATTTTTGAAATTTTCTCCAAAATAATGCATAATTTTGCAACTGATGCGGAGAAGCTGTGTATTGATGAATTCGTACTTTTATATATTGATTACACTGAGGCACCAAACAACACATCTTGCATCTGATGGTCATTATTACAAAGTAACTAAGTCTTCTAACACAATAAACTTCACTAAATTCCTGTATGTTCGTTAGCAGCGTGATGTAAGCGTGACAAGCTGAATTGCGAACAAGAAGAACAATTGACAAAATCGAAAACAAGAGTCAGAATTCATCGTATTGTGACGTAAGCATGAGACGTTGTGGTGGGGCAAACAAAGAAAGGGCACAAAATAACAAAAACAATATTTCCAATATCCTTCTAAGGCCTCTTTGGGAAGTGCATATTACGCCTCAAAAAAACATCCTCATGCCTACATTTCTAAAACATCCCAAAATATCCCACAGGGATACCTCTCAGTAGGCAAACAAAGAAATGCCACAGAAGAACAAAAACAATTCTTCAATATCCTTCAAAGACCTCTTTGGTCAGTGCATATTACGTCTCAAAATAACATCTTCATGCCAACATTTTCAAAACATCCCAAAACATCCCAGGGATGTTTGTGCTCGCTGGGATACATCATCATGAAATTTGGTACACGTCTTTTATGCATCAAGGTGCATTTTCTTATGTACAAAAATTTCCATTTTCTCTACCCGTGGCACCGTTATATACGGGAATATTATTGTTTATATTTTACTCAAAAGTGAGCAACGAAAAAAAATTTTAAAATTTTAACAATGTCATATAAAAGTCTATTCAATTATGTACAAAAAGATCCTCTAGTTGATACTCGATAGAACGCTTCGTTTCCGAGAAAAAACGGAAAAACGAGACCAGATTTCAAATTTTGATGTCTGAGTAGTGAGTACTCCATTCAGGAGATCCATTACTAGACAACCATAGTATGTAACATTCTGAAATTTTTATACCGATTCAGTCACATAGCAGACTGTATTTTGCCATCACGAAAAGCTATACAGGGTGGACAAAAAATAATCTATGCATATTCTCAACATTGACACCCTGTATCTCAAAAGCATATCATTAAGGAACATCCTAGCTGTATTCATTCAACATTATTTCAGTTGAAATCGAGAATATGATATCTTTTGCTGTAGGTACTGCATCCATATTGCAACCCTAATATATGAGGAATACTCGAAAATACTATATTATTTCACAGTGCCGTACAAATAACGAGTGCGAGTCGTCCTCTGCTGTGGCGTCACATATTCTGCATGTATAAGCGTCGATTGATAGATTGATATATAGCGAAATATATCAATCATCAGCAGTAGATACTTCGTACCTATCATCAGAAACATAGACTCTTATATCCATGAAGAGACTACAACATTTTGACAATACTAAATCGCTATAACCATTTATGTTAATGAGAAAATTTCAATATCAATTGTGTTGTTAGATGGTTCATGGTTCCTCTCTCATCAGCCAATGTACGCATCAGCAGCTCAAATGCCACCCTGCCAATTCCGATCTAGTCCGACACTGAAACGACAAAAGTCAGCTCCGTATACCATTCAGAGGCAAAAATCGGCGTCTGTGTCCCCTCCACCACATGGTAAGTATATAACTTTGATAGGCAACAGGCATAAAATAGTTATTTATGCAACAAGCAAAACGTGAATGTTTATTGCACCCGACGAGGTCGTTAGGCCGAGTTGGACAACACGTCGAGTGCAATAAACAATTTTTGCACGAGTTGCATACAACATTTTTTCTACGTTCATGCAAAAAGCAAAAAATGATTCATCGAGGTGCGGCACTAGGTGTAGGAAAATGAAAAACGCAACTTGAATAATACTTTATAATTAATGTCGATTTGCATTGAAACAGGAACTAATACGTTACGTTACGAACAATTTAACTCAAACTTTATTTTCACCCTCAATGTTGAAAGTAAATGAACAATTGGTGCAATTTTCAATATGAATAAGTATATGACGTTTCTATAACCACAGTTGCAATATAAAAAATGTTTGTCATGATGACAGCACGTTGAAGTAGATATGACAGATGAGTGCAATGAAAACTTTATTGCACTAAGTGCAATAAAGAACTTCTTTTTCCACTAAATATAGTTCAATAAAGTTCTGCTTTTTGCATGAATGTAGAAAAAGAATTAATATAATCAATTCGGCGTCGTCAACCGTACCATAATTATGGTATCCGTGCCATAATTTGGCTTTGTGTACCTACCATGTACCACATACAGGGTGTTTCACAGGTAAAGGGAAATATTTCAATGGTAGATAGGGGTTACCAAGGTGGTTCTGAAAATATCATATTTGATAGGTCTTAGAGTCTTCATAACGGAGATACAGGGCGATTTATCGATTTCGAATAATTATTCATTCGTCTATATGTATTGACCTATCCAGTATATTCTTCTCAAATTTGGTGAGGAGCTTATACTTGGGACGTTAAATTCATTCACCTATCGTGCGGAGCGAAAATCTAGGTTCGGCTTCAGGAAAAATTTACATTTATTCGAAATATTAAAATAACACACTGTATGTAATAACTAACAGAGTTCATCGAAGGAATCGTGAAGAGGAGGAAAAACTGAATTGGGTTTTATGCTTTTTGTTTTCCCGCCACCAATTCTCATAGTAACAATCATAAACATAAAGTTGAAAGTATGTCAATTTGGAGACTATTGCAATTATGGAATCAGTGTCAATTATGATTAATCGATATATTTTAGTAAAAAAATCGCTCTCAAGAACTTACTAAGTCTCACAGTCTTTATAACGGAGATACAGGGAGAATTATCGGTTTTGAATAATCGTTCACTCGTCCATAAGTAGTATCATCAACGTATCAGGCGGAATGGAAATGATACCAAATAATTATAATCCGATAATTCACCCTGTATCTCCTTTATAAAGACTATGAGACTTTTCCTGAAGCTGAACCTGTATTTCCATTCTGCCTGATAGGTCAATTAATCCATCGTACCAAGTAAGCTCGATACCAAATTTAGCAAGAATATATCAAATAATCATAATTGAAAGTGGTTTCATAATTTTAATACTCTTCAAATTGACATACTTTTAGCTTTCTGTTTATGATTGTTACGATGAGAATTGGTGGCGGGAAAACAAAAAGCATCAAATCCAGTTCAGTTTTTCCTCCTCTTCACTATTCCTTTGATGAACTCTGTCAATTATCACATACAGTGTGTTATTTTAATATTTCGAATAAATGTAAATTTTTCCTGAAGCCGAACCTAGATTTTCGCTCCGCACGATAGGTGACTGAATTCAACGTGCCAAGTTTAAGATCCATACCGAACTTGAGGAAAATATACCGGGTAGTTCAATACTTATAGACGAATGAATAATTACTCGAAATCGATAAATCGCCCTGTATCTCCGTTATGAAGACTCTAAAACCTATCAAATATGGTATTTTCAGAACCAACTTGGTGACCCCTATGTACCACTGAAATATTTCCCTTTACCTGTGGAACACCCTGTATAATGGCACGCCTTTTGAACCATAATTTGGGCATAAAGAGCAATGAGTATATTTATTTGTTAATTGATTTTCGCCAATTTTTGTTTTCGTTGATACATGACATTCGACAACTTTGCTGATTTCACAGTTGTTTCAAAAAGTTTTTCACAAAATATACTTCACGAATTTCACGAATATGTAATGACGTTTGTTACGGGTGATCCCTCTGTGATCTCACATATGTGATGTAACCTGCTACAATATTTCAACTCAAATTTGACAATGAGAATAGAAATATAGAAAAATGAACTGCTTCTATGAACTATAAACATCTATGAATCATTGAAAGTACTGTATTGTCTTCCATAAGATACACCAACAACTGAACTGTATGCTTTATCAAAAACATATCCGATATTGTAATGTCTGGCACCACCATCCCCACCAAGAGCCAACCATATCTATATGCTCGGTATTTCCATCAGCAAAACTCTTTCATGGGATAATCATGTCAGATCCATCGCAAAAGTTGCTTCACAAAAACTCGGATTCTTGTTCCGTGCGAAAAGCTACTTTACACCTCAACAGCTTCTCATGATCTACGAAGCGCAGATACGGCCTGTTCTAGAAAACTGTTCCCACATATGGGGTTCAGCACCAAAACATACGCTAATGCTCTTAGATTCCATCCAGAGAAGAGCCATCCGCCTGGTGGGTGACGCCACACTCACTCACTCTTTGACATCATTGGAACACCGTAGAAAGGTCGGCGACCTTTCACTTTTCTATCGATACTTCCACGGAAAATGTTCTTCGGAAATCTCTGCTATCATCCCTTCACTGACAATACCAGTCAGACGAACTAGACAAGTCCAGTCGGCACATATCCTTTCGTTGTCAACCTCGAAAGGTGTCGAACAGCACTTTATCAATGCTCCTTCATCCATAGAACGACTAGGCTCTGGAATTCATTGCCGAGGAAGTATTCCCAACAACATATAACCTCCAGAAGTTCAAAAACATTCCAATACCTACCTCCTGTCCTCCTCCCTAGGAACGCACGATGTTCTTTGAACATTATATGGATTTCCTTTCGTGCGCTCTAAGCAATAAAAAATAAAGAACTGTACAGAGTATCAGAGACTCTGAAGATTTCATACAATATCATGAATAAAAAATTGAAATCTAATATTATTTTGACAAGAATTTTTGAAATTTCAGTTTACAACCCGCCAGAACACATCCAACAGCAGACACTCTACAGCTCCACCGGCCCAACCTACTCCAGCTGGCCTGCCATGACTACCATACAGGCTCAAACGCCCCCCACCATGATGACTGCCCCAATCAACTGCTGGTCACTCACTTCTAGTCCCCCTCCGCCGCATCAAATCGCCTCGCAACCAACTCCCAGCCAGTCACCTGGTCACCAGGTGTACCAGCATTCGCCAGTCAGCAGCATGACGAATCTTTCCTACCCCAGCTACTACTCTGACGTCACCTACCAAGCTCCCGAGTATATACCGATACCCAGTTCGGAGGTTTCTTATGCTCAGATCGGATCTGATAGGACGCCGGTGGTTTACCAGACAGACGTTGCCCATTTGGAGAAACACGAGTATGTCCATAGTCCTCCAGTTAGTAGTGCTAGTGAGGAAAGGTCGGAGTCTGCGTCTAGTGCACCTAGACAGGAATGGGTAGTTGGGCATTTCAAAATTGAATAGCCCGCTATTGTGCAATCAAATCGCCTCGCAACCGCCTTCCAGCCAGTCACCAGGTCACCAGGTGTACCAGCATTCGCCAGTCAGCAGCATGACGAATCTTTCCTACCCCAGCTACTACTCTGACGTCACCTACCAAGCTCCCGAGTATATACCGATACCCAGTTCGGAGGTTTCTTATGCTCAGATCGGATCTGATAGGACGTCAGTGGTTTACCAGACAGACGTCGGCCATTTGGAGAAGCACGAGTATGTCCATAGTCCTCCAGTTAGTAGTGCTAGTGAGGAGAGGTCGGAGTCTGCGTCTAGTGCACCTAGACAGGAATGGGTAGTAGGGCATTTCAAAATTGAATAGCGGGATATGTGCAATACAAGTGAAGTGCAGGTGCTGCAAAAGACATCGAACATATTGTCATTGTTATTTATTTCCACAGATTATAGAAAACTAGGTGAATACTAGAAATGTGTTTTTTAAAATACCTTCTTGAACATTTGTGTGAAACAACAAAAAATAGTAGTGAGTTTGAGTTTGGGAACAAACTGATCTCCAAAGATTAATAACGGCTAAGTAAATTTCCATTCGAATTATTTATTATAGTTATTTACCTAACAAGTGCGGAAAGTAGTACTTTTCCGCATGACTACCATACAGGCTCAAACGCCCCCCACCATGATGAGTGCCCCAATCAACTGCTGGTCACTCACTTCTAGTCCCCCGCCGCCGCATCAAATCGCCTCGCAACCAACTCCCAGCCAGTCACGTGGCCACCAGGTGTACCAGCATGACGAATCTTATTACCTAACCCAGCTACTACTCTGACGTCACCTACCAAGCTTGGTTAGTGTTTGGCCCACTACAGAAATGCCTTGATCAGTTTCCCAGCGAGCACAAACATCCCTGGGATGTTTTGAAAATGTTGGCACGAAGATGTTATTTTGAGACGTAATATGCACTGACCAAAGAGGTCTTTGAAGGATATTGAAGTATTGTTTTTGTTCTTCTGTGGCATTTCTTTGTTTGCCTACTAAGAGGTATCCCTGGGATGATTTGGGATGTTTCAGAAATGTAGGCATGAGGATGTTTTTTGAAGCGTAATATGCACTTCCCAAAGAGGTCTTAGAAGGATATTGAAAGTATTGTTTTTGTTCTCTTGTGCCCATTCTTTGTTTGTCCCACCACAACGTCTCATGCTTACGTCACAATACGATGAATTCTGATTTGTTTTCGATTTTGTTCTTCTTGTTCGCAATTGGCATTCGCGTTTGCATCGTGTCACGCTTACATCACGCTGCTAACGAACAGAAGGGAATTTAGTGAAGTTTATTGTGTTAGAAGACTTATTTACTTTCTAATAATGACCATCAGATGCAAGATGTGTTGTTCGGTGCCTCAGTGTAATCAATATATAAAAGTACGAATTTATCAATACACAGCTTCTCCGCAGTTGCAAAATTATGCATTGTGGAGAACGTTTCAAAAATTGGGAAACCTATTTCCAATTATATGTCTGTGTGTAGTAAACACTAGGTACTCAGAAACCGATTAAGAAGGTAATTTCATATCAAGAAAATATTTCTATGTTCAATCTATTTTTAATGCATTTTTTTCATTCAAGGGAAATGGAATCCTAATGCAGAAGTTCATTTTGACAGAAGGCTTCAGAAAAGTATCTCGGTGTTTTTACAGCGATTTAATGTGCGCAAGACGCGTTGAAAATGTTTTGTTGTGTCCATGAAAAGGCTTTAAAAAGAACTAGGGAGAAGGTAGTTTTGTGACATATCAAGGACATCTCGATAATCGCCGCCTGCGGCGGACATTGGCTGTTCTATAATAGTTCTATTCATGTGTGAACAGAACATCGCAGTGGAGGTTCAATGTCTCGAAATCTCGTACTTTTAACATCTCTGAGATGTTTTTGTGCTCGCTGGGTTGTTGCTGAGAATTACTAGTGTAGTGAATGGAGGAAGGTAGATTGGTCTGAAATGCTTATTTGTTGACTGCCACCAAGCCTCACTGCCACCTCTGTCAGTTTATAGCGACTGTTGCTATGGGTACGTTCTGGTGCCAACAGTTCTCACCACATCTCTCCTGGTATTTCCATCGTAATCGTGCGGAAAAGTAAAAATAATGCGGAAAAGTCATATTGTACGGAAAAGTACAACTTTCAAAACGAAAAATCATGCGGAAAAGTTATTTTTCCGCACGCTCGTGGGAGCATGTGTTTTTTAAAATACCTACTTGAACATTTGTGTGTAAAAACAAAAAGTAATGGTGAGTTTGAGTTTGGGAACAAACTGATCTCCAAAGATTAAAAACGGCTAAGTAAATTTGCATTCGAATTATTTATTAAAAATATTATCGCATTCAGTTCGCAATGTGACAAAATTTTTTATCAAATTGAATGATTTTGATTCATAGCAATTGTGCAAGTACATTCAATCAAACTTTATTCAGTCATTCAATCGTGGCACAAATATTTTCAATTTGAGTAAATATTTCTTGAAAAATGCTAAAAAAACCTACTATACAGGATGATTCAAAAATATGCGGCATCCTTTCAGGGGCGTTTTCCTTGCATGAAAATAAGGCAATAAGTTTTCATCAATAAGGGTCAAAAATTGCTTCCTAAGTGAGCTACACCTCTTTGAATAGGATGCCTCAGAGACGATTTTTTCTCTATAACTTTAAAATTTTTCGCAATAAATTTTCGAAAAGGATGTACATCTATATAATTCATTTAGATAAAGCGTATCATTTAGGAGAAAATCGACTTTGAAAGCTTTCTGATTTGCGTGTGTTTACTGATGTAGGAAGATTAATATGCTTTATCATAAATAAAAAAACAACCCTTTTTCACCAAAATTTTCCTTCAACAATTCGAAGAAAATGTTCACCATATTAGCGTCACGACAAGCGTGTTATGTTTTAATATACTTACATTATTTCATGTACTTATTTGTTCCACCCTGTTATGTGATTTATATCATGTTATCTCTGAGAAAAACGAAAAAGAAATGACATGAATAATAATAAATAATTTTGACACTGAGAGAACTTTTAATTGACGAAAATATAATAGAAAATCTATATTAACCTGAATTGCATATAATATTGCAAGAATAGTCGTTAATATTTGGTCCTTCGACCCTTGAATTGATCAGCACTGTGGTAAAAATACAATGGAAGCGAAATCAGAAGACATACGACGCAGCAAACGACTTCAAGATAAAAAAGCGGCAAGACAAGCTGCAAGCGAAAGTAGACTACGAGTCGTTGATGTTGAAGAAGACAGACAAGAAACCCAGAGAGACAAGAAAGACGAAGAGAAAAGTTATATTGAAGATGCCAAGTCTAAGTCAAAAGCAAGTAGAAGCAGCAGAAGCAGCATAGCATCAAGAAAGAAGAGAGCCGAAATCGAAACAGCTATAGAAAAGAAGAAATTAGAACAAGAAATGTTAGATCTCCAGTTAGCACTCAAACTGTCAGAAATTGAAGGAAATGATGATAGCAGCGAGTCCGATTCCAAGTCCGAGTCGATACATGAGTCAATTAAACCAAAAGTGGAGGAATGGATGGACGGTCAGCTTCCATGGGATAACCGACATGACCCAGCTTCGACTTGGGATGAAAGAGATAGGTACAGCGTGGCCACAGGTAAAAAGGATGAATTACAAGGATATGAAGAGGTAAGAGATTTGAGATTTGATAAAAATGAAGGAGCTTCCACTTCCCGCCATGAAAATCCAATTACTCTTCCTCAAATTACAAAGATTCTGACACGACAATCCTTGCCGAAAGATTTACCAATATTTGACGGAAATCCACTCGACTGGCCAAACTTCATTAATCAATTTAGAAATTCATCAAAAATTTGTGGTTTTTCCAATGAGGAGAATCAATTTCGTCTACAAAAATGTTTAAGAGGAAACGCTAGGTATATTGTTCAGTCTCTACTCATACTACCTCAAAATGTGAACAAATCATAGACTTACTCGAAACTAGATTTGGACGTGCAGTACATAATTTCTATGTTATTGGACAGGATTAGACGATTTTCACAAATCAAGGAAGAGAAATTGGACTCACTTGTAGAATTTTCGGATGAAATCAAAAATTTTGTTGCTACCGTACAATGTTTGGAAGAGAATGATCATCTTCGCAATCCAATGTTGATCACTGAAATTTTGAATAAATTGCCGACCTCTTACAAACTGTTGTGGGTAGAACACATTTCTGAATTGAATCCTGAAATAAAGCTCATTGAATTATCGAATTGGTTAGACACAAAGGCTAATGCAATTGCTCAGATTAATCTGCCAAAGTTTGACAAACAACAAAAATATAAATCATCCAATGTCAGTAGAGATGTTACTCTGGCAACATCAGACAGAATATCGAACAAAAAATGTTTCTGTTGTAACAGGGAGATTCATCCATTGAGCTCATGTCCCAAATTCACCGATTTACCCGTGGATGACAGATGGTCCTTGATAACTGAAAAGAAAATTTGCTTTTCTTGTCTCACGCCTTTTCATAGTATACGTCAATGTCGAAAAAAAAGGGTGTGTGGAATAAATGATTGCAAAAGACTACATCACACACTTCTGCATAATCCATCTAGAAATAACGTCAATTTGATCCCACAGAATGTAACTGAAATCAACTGCCATATTTCGAACATGAGCGCTCTCCTGAAAATTCTTCCTATCATTTTATGTCATAATGGTGAAGAAATTGAAACATACGTTTTACTGGACGATGCTTCTACCATTACTCTCATTGATGAAGATTTTGCAGATTCTTTAGATTTAAACGGACCAAAACAAGCTCTCTGTTTACAATGGACAAATGAAGATGTCATGCATCATGAAGATGATTCTAGAATAGTCAGTTTTACGATAAAAGGTAAAAATAATGGATCATGCTTTCAGTTGCGTCACGTACATACAACAAAATTATCTTTACCCCATCAAACAATAGATGTCGAAAAATTGCGCAAAATTTATCCATACATTAATGAAAAGGTTATTTCTATGAATAATGTTCAACCGAAAATAATAATCGGACAGGATAACTGGCCACTTCTGGTAAATAGGAAATTGATTTCTGGACCCTGGAATGGACCAGCGGTAAGCAAAACTCTCTTGGGCTGGGTGATACACGGAAATTTGAAATATGCTGAAAAAACTTCAAATTTAGTTTGCCATATCCAAAATTATGACTCAACAAAGGAAAAAGATGACTTGGATGTTCTTCATGACCTTGTCAAAGAACAATGGAGACTAGAGAAGATTGAAAATCCTCAAGAATTAGCACCATCACCTGAAGACAGAAAAGCTCAGCAAATATTAGACAATACTTTGAAAAGAATAGGACAGAGATATGAGACAGGACTACTTTGGAAGAAAGAAGACTTAGTTTTGCCAGAAAGTAAGATAAGTGCCTTGAGAAGA